AACTCCCACGATCGCGAGACGCTACCATGCTTGGCGCTGAGCAGTAATTTTGAAAATTTTGAGTCTCTAGATCGTTGGAAATAGCATTTTCAGAGTCTTCTTTTTTGCTATTTGTGATTATAGAAATCAGAACTCTAGACATGGTATTTAAGTTCAAAAACTTTTATGACCCCCCCTTTCTCTGTGTTAAAACTTTTTTAACCCCCCCCCCTATTTATAAGGGTAAAACTTCGTTTGCCCCCCTCCCATTTCCCAACCCCCCTCCCCATAAATAATGACCACTCCCTAAATATGACTGAGTGTTACTCGGTGCTCACAATCTTATTTATTTTCTAAATCTTTCCCTGTCAATTTTATTAGTCCAGGTTCGTTGTTTATTATTTCTTTTGCATTTAATACATTATTAATAAGAATGAACGGAGGTTCAGGCTCTACGCTGACTGGAACTTCATTACGCACTCGGTTTTTGTACCAGCCAATTTCGTGTTCAAACACTTGTGTTACGTTGTTGATCATGCACGCAGGGCCGTCCTCAGGAAATTCTTCAGGGGGGGGGGGTGTAATAAGGCCATTTGAACCGACTGGTTCAAAAAAAAATTCTCCGGATCAAAAATATTTTGTCGACCAACTTTTTGTCGACCAAAATTTTTTTCGCCAATTCAGTATATTTGTGCAATCATCGTGATCAGTTTATCAAAAAAAAACAAAGGAGAAGGAAATAGCGTAGTAGGTTTTAGAAGGTATTGTTATGCAACAGCATTAATGGCGTGACGTTTGCAATCTAATTATAATAACTTGCGCATACGACGCGCGCATACCAAGAGAAAGGGAGTTTTTGTCTTATCTATTTAGCATTAACAGCTTTAAATTTCCACAACACACTGTCCATTCTCTCTCAAGTAAATTTAAATATGCTATCCAACAGCATATATTAAGACGCAAATCGGAACAAGACCAACAGATTACCTGACTCAGACTGAGTAGTTTTCTCTTTATCAAAACATCACTTCTCTCCAAAATGTGCAGAAACGTAGCCATGCAGGATTTTTGGTCAGGGGGGCAGCAAAAACGTAGGTGGGCTATGTTTCACTTCTTTTTATAGAATAAATTTTCTCAGGGACACCAAAATTTTAGGCGTAAATAAGGCGTACATGAACAACGAAATACGAGTGTTTGAGGATTGGTTGGTACAAAAACAGAGTCGTAATGAGGTTCCAGTCAGCGTAATTCAGAATTGGTACGTTGGCTCTTGAGGCAAAGAGTAAACCTCCGTTCTTTGGCTTAATAATGGATTAGACGCAAAGCCAATAAACAACCATTACCCGGACTAATAAAATTAATTGACGGGAAAAGATTTAGAGAATAAATAAGATTGTGAATACCGAGTAATACTTAGTTTATGGTATATAGTCATTTCTTTGTTTAGCACCACTTCTTCCCCACCCCCGGCCCTCTCCTGTAAGCAATTAATGTATAAAATCGTGGAGTGAAATTGTATTTGAAACTTGAAAGATAATTATGATATTTTACGGAAAATCACAGTACTCGATGTTGCATATTTAAAGAGAATAAAACGTGCAAACAGATTCTTTGTGTATATTAGAAATACCTCTCTCCCCCCCCCCCAAAAAAAAGATAAATTACGGTATGAGTTCTAGAACGTTTACAGGACCGTACGCAGAATGTTTTCATCAGCTGGGGGCAGTAAGGCCTATATGCCGAAAAACGTCACAAATTAAATATCCAATGAATAATTAATAATGATATTGCCTCCCCTGCTGTGTACGGCCCTGAATGTTTAGGATTGTGATAATATTTAAAGCCTGAAAAACAAATTTGCTTGCAAACGTTATGCAATTGCTGTAGTATAAAATAACATCATATTTTAATTAATATTTTAAATAAGTTATTATTGTAATGTTGGCTTGGAAGTGTTCCTGGCGAGGGCTCGATACGGTACATTGCTCAGAATGTTTGGTAAACCATTAAAATGCACAGAACATAAAAATATCATATATTTTTAAAATATTCCGATGTTATCTTGTTTTACTTCAGCCCTGTTTTCGCACATTTCATAATTTTTCTTGTCCAGTCCTAGATTGAGATCAGTTTTTCTTATCTGCGCGTGCGCATTACGTGTTTTGTGCTCAAGCGCATGCGTATGTGCAACACAACAATGGCGGTTCATGGATTCCGAAACACGAGGAAGCGTGAACTTTGAAGAGCTTATACTTCAATTTGTGCAACTATTTCGCTTGGGGGGAAGTGGATTCTAACTAAGTAAGTTATAATCTATAGATTCATGTAAAAATTATGTAGTTACACGAGGGGTGCTACGGAATTGAACATTTTCGACCCTCATCCAACGGCCTACAGCCAGTAGAAATGTTTATTTTTTTTCCTTAACAGATGAGAACTTTTATTAAAAATACACATTAAAATTATAGTTACTATAAAAAAAAATGTTTAAAGTTAAACGATTAGTTGCATCTGTTTATTAGTTTTCCAAACGAGTTCGTATGGTCCTATACAATTACAGTTTAAATTTTGTTCAGCAACATACACGTCCTTCAACTAGTGCTAGTTCAATCTCCCCACCAAAGGAATTAATTGGATTGTGGTGGGAAGATCTGGATCCACGTAGGCACATTATCGCTGATCGTAACAATGAAAAGCTAAGTCGGCACCTAAGCCAGTTTATTGTCTTGCTATATGGCTTGCCGTGTTTTTCAGCGATCAAGGATGCTATTCTCTTGTAGACCACGTTTGCAGTGGCACCCATACCACCCGCTGTCGAGAAGACCAGCGGAGAAAATGACCCGTGTTCTACCTCTCTAATTCTTTCGTCGTACGCTCTTCTTTTCTCCAGTTCATTCTTACGATAGCACTGAGAGAGGGAGGTGTTTCGATAGCTCGGTGCGAAAGGGTTGAACACCCTGACGTCAAAAAATGCACGTTGCCGATCGCGCCCCCAGAAACTTTCTGCTACAACATCCAGTCGAGCACCATCTTCTCTATTTGCTGATCTGTATGAAAACACTTCATCAGTTACAGGTTGTAGGCCTGGTTCGACACCAACTCCATAGCATACCTCCGTCAAAAATTCAGCAGTAATATCTCTTATCTCGTTGTGTCGGATTGAGGGAAAGCCTCCTCGTGAGCAACTTAATGCATGCTCTATTGTAAACTTCTGATCACAGACGCAGCGGGAGGGTAGATGCTGAGAAAGCCATCCATATCTCAGACATAGGGCATCTCGAAAAGCTCCTTTGTGTAGGTTGAACCCATAGTCAGACAACGGAAGCGTGGTAAGCCATGTGGAAGCTCCTTTCTCAGTGGAAACTTCTATCGCTCTCTGTAGATTTGGAGGTAATCTTTCTGCAATCAGGTTTGCTTCAGCTTTCTCATGTCGTCTTCGTAGGTTGCGGGTATAATTTTTCTCATTGATTTGAGCTTTTTTAATCTCAGGAGGACTTACTCTCGATTGATCTATAATGATATTGACGATTGGGGCTGTAATCGATTTAGAATTTTCATAGAAAGTGGAGCTTTTTTGGGAAGGATCAGTGATGCCCAGGCCTCCAAGGCGAGCTGGTAGTCCCATAAGATTGCGAAGGTTGTCATCGAATACATTTTGCCCTGTGATAGCTGGTAGGAACTTGCATCTTAAAACTTCTTCAAGTGGTGCGAGAAAAATGTCAATATTCGGGGTTGTCCGAGCTAAATATGTCCATTTGCTCTTAAAACCATGCGTGAATGCGGCATAAGCGGCTTGTGGTTGTGACATAGCAATGTCAGAAAGACGTTCAAGCTCTTCCTTCCATGTTGACACTTTCTCTTCAACGTAATTCTCTACAAAAGAACGTGTTCCAATTGCTGAACCCAAATGCCTCTTTCCCTCCTGAGAAATCTTCACTCCTGTGTCTTGAAAAAGCTGCTTTGCTTCTTCGAAGTGCCTTTCTTTCACAACAAGCCACGTCTTGTCAGCATTGGGGAAATAGCCGTATTCTGGTCCTATCTTAGAGATGTTATTCCACCAGTCTTTGATACCGCTAAGTTTCCCAGCAGCAGAGGCATCATCGGCAAACCACACTTGCTTTATCCTCTCTTCAGAAAGGCGATGGATCAGAGGTGTAATAGCAACAGCGTACATTGCCATTGCAAGGGGATCTCCTTGTGTAGTGCCCTCTTGCGAATAAATTACTTCTCCGTCTATAAACAAAGGAATGTGTTCTCTGTAGGTATTTGTTAACACCTTCGATAGTGCTGGGCAAAGATGCTTGATATTAATTAAGGCAGTTTGACGGTTTAAGCAGTTAAAAGCATTGGTAGCATCAACAAGAATAACACCATCCGCATCCTTATCTTCAAACACTTGATGCATAGCGTGAACAGCTGCCTCACAACCGGATAAATGTCCAGCACATGTCTGTAGTGGACCTGTAGCTTCTTGAATCTCGTTGCCAATCACTCTGACAATCGCTTTACCAATAATACGCCGAGCCACCTCACCAATACCGACCGGACGTACTCCAGGGCATTTATCAAGCGCAATCAAGCGACTACCAACAAATGATGTTAAACTTGATGGATCAACAAGAGAAGTGCAGATTCTTCTAGCAACTGCAGCTAAAGCATCACATAGACCAACTGAACATGATTTAAAAGATGTACAGAGTCGTCGCCAGGCCATTGCATCAAGACCAGATGGTCCTGCGGCTCCTTCTGTTTTAATGGCCGTATTCTGTATCAACTCTCCATCAATCCTATCAAAAATAACTGGGTGTGGTTCCATGTTGCAATCCCCATTTAGTATCGCCGATTGAACAGGTGGTATATTAGGTGGATGCTTCTCTAACAGGACTTGTCTGACGGTCTTGGGATTGTCAGGGGCAACACAGCTATCTAACGTCAGACATCCTCTATCGTCTTCCGATATTATCCGAAGTGCTGCTCTTACTTTACCCTGCATCATCAACTTTGCGAAAACTCGCGCAGTATCATCAGATGACCGCTGCTTAGATTGTCTGACTAAGCGTTTTTGGATAGCACGACCCTCATCTAGCAGACCATTGATATCCCCATTCATCCATTGCTTAAGTCTACGATTTAGATACAAAGTATGCTCTTTTGCCTTAGATTTGGGATGTGGTTTCTGGAGTAAAAGAGCAGGCATAACCATTGTGGCTGTTAAAGCCACACTCTCAAGTGACGATATATCAGCATAAGCTTGAAACATTCGAGTAAGCTCGCGCACAAAGGATTTACCAGCCTGGCCGGATGGAGTTTTAAACAAGTTTCGTCTCCAATGAACCACTTCTTTATAGCTTTCTTGGATAGCTTGAGCAAATGCTTCGCCTTCGACTTCACCCCATCGAAACACTGGAGATTGCATTGGGATATAATCTGGTGTGTGTTCTGAAATTATTACTTCATTTTCATCGCTCTCGGGTTCTTGGTGTTGATTAACGTGCGATGTCGATCCATCTTGAAGTAAGCTTGGCAAATTTCCTATTTGATTTTGATTTTCACATCGTTTATCTTTCCCTGGCTTACAATTTGTGCAAACGCGGTTGTTCCTAGCACAAATACACGATCTACATGTCCCATTTCCGTTACACCGGCAACACTGAGTCATGTTCCAACTATGAACAACTATAACTTGCTTGAACGCCTTGTTGGAAAGAGTTAAACAATGTTTATTTATTTTAAAAATGCGGAGTTAAAAAAAACACGTCCGCCATCTTGCTTTGGTGTTTCCCAAAAAATGGAGTTTTTAAAAATATCGGGTTTTTCTTGGTTTTTCTCGCACGCGCCTGCCACACGCTAAAATTGGCGAATAAGAAGTACTGGCAACCTCGTCCCCAGGGTCTTCTTCGTACATGGCGCGTGAAAAATGAGAAGACCCTGGTAAAGGCTGCGAAAATCTCCACGATTCATGGACATTTTAGTGCATGCGCGAAAGCGAATTTGCCTTGGCGCTGACCAATTCATTGCTGGCGTACAAATTTTTCATGGCCTTCTTGAGATGAAATTTTCAGTTTGGAAATGTATTTTTTTGCTAAAATATACCTTTAGATAAGTAATTTCTCTTCAAAAATAAAAATGTCTAGAGAGAAAATAACAAGAAGCTAGTACGTCCACAGGGGGTCCAACTAACAGCTGTGTTATGAATAAAACATATTAATTAAACGTAATATGAATAAAACATCATAACGTAATATTGCACTTACTTGTATAAATCATAAGAGCTTGCATTTTAATACAGTGAATAGCTTCAAAAACTTGCTTCGTTCCAAAGACTTCAAATATGGCGAATAAATTGACAAAACGATAATATTACATGACGTTCCAACGAAAATAACAGAAAGGATTGCGGGCGCGAGCGGAAAGGCGAGGAAAGAAATAAATAGAAGGGATGAAACAAATATCACGTGACTTTTTAAAATGCTTCTAGACTATCCGTTTAAGCTTTTTGTGGGGTTTTTAAGGCTCAGTCGATGTTCTCTTACATGAACAAGCCTAGTCATTACCAAAAAAGCACTGATCAATCTAATTTATGTGATTTATAACAGCGAGCATTCTTGGCCATTATCGCGAGATGTGTTCCATAAGTAGCCTGTTCTCGTGACGTATGACGAAATAATAATAAAACTAAATAATGTAAAAAAAAACGTTGGTCGCTACATTTAAACATTTCATATTAGCCGGTATAGCTAAACATTGTTTATTTTCATTAATTAAGCGCGTAGGCGTTGTTGGAGTTGGCAGGAGGCGTTTTGGAATTTTCCGAGAGAACAGGCTACTTATGGAACACATCACACGATCGCATTACCGGTGTTTCATCCCTTCTATTAATATATATTACCCTCGCCTTCCGCTCGCGCCCGCAATCCTTTCTGTTATTTTCGTTGGAACGTCATGTAATATTATCGTTTTGTCAATTTATTCGCCATATTTGAAGTCTTTGGAACGAAGCAAGTTTTTGAAGCTATTCACTGTATTAAAATGCAAGCTCTTATGATTTATACAAGTAAGTGCAATATTACGTTATGATGTTTTATTCATATTACGTTTAATTAATATGTTTTATTCATAACACAGCTGTTAGTTGGACCCCCTGTGGTACGTCTAATTTTTATCTTCCTGGCCGAAGAATCCACGTTGTTTGTCATGTCTCACGGCTGCTTGCACTGGCAGTCTGGCAGCACTGTCACTGTGAAGGTAATTGAAAAACTACAATATATTATTTTTATTCATATTATAATTCAACAATAATGGCCCTATGACTGGTGCTAATATGCCTACAAAGTATTTTTTTAAAGCGCTTAGTTTTGAGAAATTATAATTTGATATAAATGAAAATTTAGTAATTTACTAGTGGGCCATCCATAGACTCATCACTAATCCATTTTACACTGTGAACGTTGCACTTGTTCAAGTTATTTTGACTAAAAGTTATCGCATGTTAATAAATACTCTAGTATATAATAATACTGTAATTTATAGTTTATTCCCTTGGAGCATGCAAAGTGCTTACATGTGGAATAGTTTGCCTTAGATCCACAGCTCTCACATAGGAGATTAGAACTCCCATAATTCCTTTTACACATCCTAGTACATTTTACTATTCTAAAAGTGCATTTCCCCATCCCCTTTCAGACAGCAGAAATTTCATTTGTATTGCAAGTTTATATTGTGCACTGAATGGTGAATCAGTAAAACTAAAAGATTGCCAGCCAGTTTAGAGATAGTTTTGTTCAAATGTAACTTATGTCATAAAGCCCTGTTTAAACGGATCCAACATTGTTGGGCCAACATCATCCAACATTGTTGAAATAATGGCCCAAACGGCTTCTTTTTCAAATATTTTTGTCAAGACTAGGTTTAGCGTTTGAGTAAAGCTTATCTAATCAAAAAGATTTGAAAGAGAAGCAGTCATATCTATTATAGTAACATTGATGGATGATGACGTTCCAACAATGTTGGATCCGTTTAAACACCCCTTAAGTATGTTTCTCCCTCAATTAGAATAAATCTACTGTTAATAAATTAATTGGATAGATTTAGTGTAACATATAGATTTAGGTTTCCAGTTTGTGAAATGAAATGCAAATCAATTGTATTATATTTTAGATATTCATGCTTCTCAAACATCAATATGGATAAAACAAGGACTGTCAAGAAGACTGCAACTGTATATGTACAACTTAATGGGGATGGGAGTTGGTCTTCACATATAGGAATGTTGATAATATTAATGAGATTATTAAGAAAACCACAAAGTCAACAACTATCCTAGATTCCATAATATTAGGAAGCTGGCTCAACTATACTTAATATTCTGGTAATACTCAAGAAAGTGACATGGCAATTCAACAATGCATATACAACAGAAAGAGATATTTCCATACCAAGACAATTCTTACTGAATTAGTATTTAGCTGATATTTCATTTTTTACAGTATTTAAAGTTATATACAGTGCTGTTTTAAGTTAAAATATAACAAAGTTACTTGGTTCAAAATCTGGTCTTTGTTTTTCCTTCTCTGTACTATGCAAGGGTAGAGAAAAGAGGTGGTAATATGCATCCTCACATGCGGATGTAGGAACTCTCACTCATATGGAAAACAAATTGGATCATTCCAGAAAAGATCCATACTTCCCCCACGGAGGAAATTTCTGCCGTCCAGAGGGGGAGGGGAGAAAAAATTGTTTCTGATAATAGTAAATGTATTAGGACATCCAAAGGGGGTTAACTTCCTATTTCCTCTGTGGGGGTGGTATGGATGTTTTCTGGAATGACCTATTCCCAGTCATTTCAAAAAGTAAGCCTTGGAGCTTTTTGGAAATTGATTTCATTCATGCTTTAACAACCGATCTCCTGCATGTACATCATTGCAAAATGTGCAGCCAGCCTGCAATGTCCAAACCACAGTTGTCCACAACATTTGTTCTCATTGAGCTGTCCATTGATGAGGAAGTGTAGTGTGGAGACAAACAATTTTGATTTGGCTGCATTTATTTAAACACTTGCTTTATTACACCTCCCTCACTGACTCAATAGTTGCTAATGTAAATTTGTACTAGCTCTGCAGGACAGATGTGTTCAATTTTTCCTATACGGTATGGAATAAAGATCATGCTGTTAGTGTTACATGCATGCAAATGGTAATTCACAATGATGTAAAGGCTAATGAAATTCAATTATGGGTTGTCCATAACTACCAACATTTCCTGAAGTGTAGAAACTATACGCTTCAGGTAGGCAGGTTCATAACCACTATACGCTTTTTAAATGTTGAACTATAGACCCACCATCATCGGTTAAGTCGCTGTGCGAGGGGGTTGAAAAGTGTACTCTCTGTACACCTATGATAATTATGGATGATTTACAGTGTAACACTAATGCTAGATTTAACTGAAAATAATTTTATAGCTATGTTGAATATATTTGAAATGTTCCATTTGTGGAGGTCAGTGGCATATATTCTTGTGGAAAATTCAAGTAGCTGTGCTCCAGCAGCTAGCTGCAGTGCCACAAATTATTGACATAACCAAAATTTTAATATTGCATGGGATCTTTATAGATTCGCTTTTATATATTTCCTGGTGTCATATGAGCCCAGCAAGAACTGCTTACTTTATTATTATAATTTAAACATGTAACAATTAAGCTATACAAACAGCAATCGTTCTGTGCGTCTATTTCTGCTATAAAAATGTATATTCAGCTGAGACTGATATTAAACTGTCACTTGAAGCAGACAAGAGGTGTTCGTATTAAACAAGTGGTAGCATTTGAGAGAAACTAGAACGTCACAAACGCAAATGGTTCTGTGGTTTGTTTGATCATACAGTGTGTGTGTATATTTCATACCTTCGATATAAACGATGTGAACATTAGCTGTCTCAACTTTGAAGTACCAAAATGATGTCTATATTTATTCACACTACGATGTCCATTATATATTGTGCCTGATATTAGGCTGAAAGTTGGAAAATATTTGCCAGAAACAAGCTTCGCGCCTTGGCGAAGCATGCATTTTACTCTAAAGCAAATTATTGTTGTGAAAATCCTTCTAAATCATGCAACCAATCGTAGCGCTCATTACAAGAAGTATTTAGCGGTAAACCAATCATATTCATTGTAACAACATCCTCAAAGCACATGTCAAGGTCAAATGTATAAACCAATCACAACGGAGCTTAGAAGAGCCTTTACCAGGGTCTTCTCATTTTTCACGCGCCATGTACGAAGAAGACCCTGGGGACGAGGTTGGAAGTACTGGTAGCCCGATGCACGTGCAAATTATGCTGCAGATGTAATTTGACCTTTAAAATCGATTTCCGACGTTTCCCGAGCGCTAGGATGTAAACACGCGATGTTTTGGCGAATTTAATTCGCATTTCCGGTCAAAAAATATCCCGCTGAGTTCGCTAATATCGCAACAGATTGAAATATCGAAATAAAAGACGAAGAACTGAGGCTACAAGCCTCAACTGAGGCTACAAGCCTCAAAATAACACTGTAAATAGTGTTTTTGATTGTGAATCGACAAGACTACAACAAAAAATACATGTTTGAAGGGGCCGAAGTTGTGTCTGGCAAAAGGTGTGGCTTTAGTGATAAATTGT